CCTTAGGCAAAACGGACTCAATTTTGTATAAACGGTGTGTCTGACCCCTCTGGAGGCAGAGAGGCGGGCCCAATAAGGGAAACATAGGTAAAACCTTTAAAATCCTTCTTTTACCATAGAGATTAAGGGATTTTATCCTGATTTATTCTGGAGCATCAATGGGCCAAGGGGACTTAATTTTGTATAAGCATGCAGTGGGTGTGGTCTCCCAAGGGCAGAAGGGCGGGGCCCAATAGGAGAAATAGAGGTAAAACCTTTAAAATCCTTCTTCGACCATTAGGATTATTGGATTTTATCCTTATTTAGTCTGGAGCATCCTTGGGTCAAGGGGACTCAATTTTGTATAATTGGTTGGTATGACCCCCCTAAGTTGCATATAGGGGTGGGGCTCTGTTTGAAGTTTGTTCTCGCTATATCTCAAGTACTGGATGGATCTTTCTGAAATTTCATATGTACTTACAGCACCTACTTTATACCAATTATTTTAAACATATTCAGGTGAGCGTTACAGGCCCTCTGGGCCTCTTGTTTACGTCTTTACACAGAAAATACTGCTCAATGCGTTTACTGTAAATGTCCCATGTTTCGACTAAGCTATCGAAAATTTCCATGTGACCGATATTCCCTGCCATGATGTGAAAGAGTCAATTTTACCACGACCACGTGGATTTACAGTGCGTGGGATACAACACTGACACGTGTCCTGGTTTAATGGCGTGACCAACGCAATCTTGACACTTTTATCCATTATTTGCCTGGGTTCGTATCGATGCCTCGTCGCCAGATTATGTTGTGTTCTACAACATTTGTCAGGGAAAACCAGGAGACCCGCCTAAACACAATTTATTGATCACCCAATAATGCATTGCAAGGCATATACTAACACAGACAATGTATCCGGAATACGAAGTGGAACTAATAAATCATATTATTACAACAACCCCACTTTTTGCCTTAATGTCGAGCATTCGCCCAGATGCAGAGGCAATGAATACAGGTCGTTCCGTCCTAGGTCGTTAGAATTGTACCTGCTACCCCACATTCCATGATCGTAAGAGGTGACTAAATTTAGGACCTTATCTCTTCTCTCCTTTCTAAATAACTCTTCTTCCTAATGTCTCCCTTGATAATGCCTCACTTTTGGCCATTTGTTGAGCGTTCGTCCCTGAGAGGAAGGCTTTGGGTTCTGTCCCCTGGCCGAGAGTCTTTAAAAATGGTAGTTTCTACTCCTGCTTAACAGCAGCATGTATGTCTGTAACGTTGTAACACAAAAGAAAACAAAATACTTTTTTGTTTATATAGAGTCCCTGCAGGTAGGGCGTAAGAATTGTACCTGCTGCCCCCAATTGCATGATCGTAAGAGGCGACTAAATTTGGGACCTTATCTCTTCTCTCCTTTCTAAAAAACTTTCTTCTTCCTAATGTCTCCCTTGACAATGCCTCACTTTTGGCCATTTGTTGAGCGTTCGCCCCTGTGAGGAAGGCTTTGGGTTCTGTCCCCTGGCCGAGACATACCAAAGTCTTTAAAAATGGTAGTTTCTACTCCTGCTTAACGCTCAGCAA